CGGCACCGCTGCCCGCGGCCCTGCCAGGGGGGACGGAAGAACCCGGGCGGCCCTTCCCCGCCTCTCCCGCCTGGCGCGGGTGGAGGGGCACGGAGCAGCGCCTCGCTGCCCTCCCCCTGCTCCGCCGGCCCTGCAGGGCCGCGTCCCCGGCCCCTGGGCACAGCGCTGCTCTCACCCCGCGCGGCATCGCCCGACCCGGCCGGGGCAGCCAGGGCCTTGCTCCCAGGCTCCGGTTAAAGTCCAATCCTGCTTAGCATCCCTCTGAGGGCTCAGACAGGGCGGGCAGAGGCCCAGCTCCGGGATACCACAGCCCTGCACGCCTGCTTTCCCGGGATTAGGAACCGCGCTCGGTTTCCCCGGGGGATTTTGCCCGGGCTGGTGTTTCCTTCCCCAGCGGGAGGGAAGGAGGAGGCCGGTAGTGGGGAAACAGCTGAGGTGGAGCCCAGCCCAGTGCTGGGCAATGCAGAGACATGACTGCAGCCTCTCTACCCTCTTCCCTGCCCCTTCACCACACTAGTTCTTTGAGCCGTCCTGAGCTGGCTGCTTCAGCTTGGCACTTGGAAGGACTGGTGCTGGCACAGGGACAATGAGTGACAATAAACTCATCCCAAACCAACTGAGCCTGGAAAAGTGCCAAGGGAGCAAAGGGATCCTGGAACTGGCTCCAGGTGCCAGTGGGCAGACAGCTCCTGTAATTAGGTTTAAGCTGGGAGTTGGATCAGTCTTTGCGGAGGATTATGACCCCTCCATCTGCATAGGCGCTGTGGGGGGCCTGGTGACTACCTGCTCAGTGTCCCAGCACAGCCACAGTGTCATGGGTGAGCTCTGGAGTAAGGGGCAGCACCAGCCAGGGCCGGTCCCGCTTTAGCCCCGTGGGTTGTCCTGGGAAGGCTGGATGCAGAGCAGGGCCTGCTTTGTTTTAACAAGGACATTGGGAGTTGGAGTGGAGATGAAAAACAGCCAGAAATATGATTAGAGGTTTGGAGAAAATGCCTTGGAGTACAAGCTTTAAGAGCTCAATCTGTTTAGCCTATAAAAATAGAAGACTGAGGGGTGACTTAATTACCAAGCATAATTACTTCACAGGCAGAAAATACCAGGTAGTGGAAGTCTCCCTTTAATCGAGCAGGAAAAGGGCACCAGAGAGCCAGGGACAGGAAATTGAAGACACAGATAAATTATAAAGCGCCGCATCCTGGCAGTGAAGCTCCCCAGGGGTGCAGACGGGTTCCCCAGGGTTGGCACGTCCCTGCAGCCACTCTTTGGGTGACAGTCTGTGCTCCCACAGCCCCCACAGGCCAGGGCGGATGAGGCTGTTCCTCCATTCCCTTCCTTCCCACCGTGGTAGCAAGGGTCCAGAGTAGGTTTTCTGGTGGCTGGGTGCCAAGTGATGGCATCGCTATTGGGCACATGCTGGCAGTGCCTCCATTTCTCTTCTCTCTCTCTCTCTCTCACCAGCTGGGGTGGGTGCTGGGGCACAGTTTTGCTGGCGAGCCATGGGGCAGGAGCGGAGATTTTGATGCCTCTCCCAGGAGTCCCCAGAGCCATGACTGCAACTGTGCAGACACTGCGGTTCAAGCTGCTGCCACATGAGCCAGACCAGGAGTGGGGGCACAGCTGCCAGCAGGAAATAGAGCGTCGCTACCAGGTGGTGCCTTCGGTGGTGTGCGCCATGTGCTGCCTCTTTGGCATCATCTACTGCTTCTTTGGTGAGCCAAGCCAGCCTGGTGGCTGGTGGGGCAAGTGGGGAGAAGGGCAGGGGGGAGCCAAGGGGTTTCTGGCCGTCCACCCCCTGACTGCAGTGGTCTCTCCACAGGCTACCGGTGCTTCAAGGCTGTCATGTTCCTGACAGGGCTGATGTTTGGCTCCATCATCATCTTCATGCTGTGCTACAAGGAGCGGGTGCTGGACACACAGCTGAGTGTGGAGGCCTCAGTGGGCATCGGGCTGGGCATCGGGGTCTTGTGTGGGCTGGTCACCATGCTGGTGCGCAGTGTCGGTCTCTTCATGGTGGGGCTACTCCTGGGGCTGCTGCTGGCGGTGGCCACGCTGGTGGTGATGGAGCAGTTCTACCACCCACCTACTGTGTGGATCCCCATTGCACTGCTCCTGGGTGTAGGGATGCTCTTTGCTGTCCTCACCCTGCAGTGGCAGCGTTTCTTCACCACCCTCTCCACCGCCGTCTTCGGCAGTGCCATCATGACCGTCACCGTTGACTACTTCATTGAGCTCTTCCTCCTGGTGCAGTACATCTATGAGCGCATCAAGGTGGCCCCTGCTCGTCCAGTATGCTGGTACAGCTGGGTCATCCTGGGTGTCTGGCCACTCCTCACCACACTGGGTGTCCTGGTCCAGTGGAAGGTCACGGCCGAGGGATACTCCCACACAGAAGGTGTGTGTGGGCTGGAGGACATGAATGTGGGATGGGATGGGTGCAGGAGCTGGGAGGGTGGGGTCAGAGTTCTCAACACCTAGTTTGCATGCACAGATAAAGGGGTTTGGGACCCTGCAGGGGCACAGCACTCAAGGGAAGGCCTGGATGCACAAAGCTGGGGCTGTTTTGGGTGCAGGGAAGATTTTGGGGTGCACCCTGGGGCTCACAGGCCTCTCTGCCCCACAGTGATCATCAGCCGGCAGCAGCGCCGCGTGCAGCTGATGCGCATCAAGCAGCGGGAGGACCGAAAGGAGAAGAAGAAGAAGCGGAGACCCCACCACCCACCACCCCACCAGCACAAAGCCCACCCACCTGAGCCCGCCTACCGCCGCAAACCCAACCCTGTGCGCCGCTTCGATGGGGACGTGCTCTCCCCTGTGAGTCCTGTGCCCAGGGTAGAGATCTCCCCCAATCTCTATGGCCCTTCCTTCTCCATGCAGGTGGGCTGGGGCGTGGAGAGGGCAGAGATGCATCCGAGCTCTTTGAGGGACAAAGTCAGTTTGTCCCAGGGGCTGGGCAGCTCCACAGGGACTGAGCTGGGACATGCTCACCTAGGAGTGCTTCAGCCTTTGCAAGGAAATGTTAGCTGGTGGCCCAAAGCGCTGTGGCCATGGTGAAAACGGGCAGTGGGCAAGTTGCTAAGCGTCTGCCCAGGGAAGGGATCTGGCTGTGAGCCCTGCTACACCAGCCTCCGGAGGGCCTGAGTGATGGGGGCAGGTGGGATTGCACAGGGCAAGTTCTGGGGAGCTGCTGCAGCATTTAGGATGGGATGGAATGGAGTGTGCCAGGAGCAGAGCCCTCCTCACTTTCTCTCCCTCCTCTCTCAAGCAGAGCTACATCCAGAGTTTCCGAGAGCGGCAGACGGGGCCGTCCCTGAACAGCCTCATCACCAGTTCCCATGCCATGGTGGACCTGGACTATGACTGCAGCTCCACCGTGCCCCTCACCACGGGCTCCGGCCCTGCTGTGCGGGTGTAAGCAAACCCAATGACCTCAAGCGACACCAGCACCCCAGCCTGCTCCGACAGACCCCTGGGAGAGGTGGGGCTGTGCCCTCGGCCCCGAGCAGCCACGCGTGCCTCAGGGCTGCAGGTGGAGACCCTTCCTGAGCACGTGTGGATTTGACTGGGTGGGCCTCAGCTGCCTGCTGGGCCCAGAGGTGCTGTGGGAGCCATCCAGCAGGGACTTAGCCCAAGGACTAAGGACACCAGCACCCATGGACGTGTGGTACGGGTGGTTCTGCTGGGGCAGGGGGTCCCTGAGCCGCCACTACTGCGTGTTTCCCCATAGTCTGGGCACACTCATCCTGCATCCCATCATCTCCATCCCCATGTTTGAGCCCCTCTTCCCCAAGATCAGCTCCTCACACCTGCCCCCACCCCATTGCACCCCTTCAGCAACTCCCCAAGTGCCTGTGCCCCATATCCTTTCCTCTAAGAGCAGGCCCCACAGCTCTTGCTCCCCCCCAGGGCCTCCCCCAAGCATGTGCACCCTGTCCCACCCTGGCCCTGAGACCAACTTCCAGGAACCACTTCCCAAAACCTGCCTCCTCAGAAGGTTCCTCTGCCCTAGACACTGTCCCTGCCCCCCTGAGCGGCTTGCCTACTCCCCTTCTCCCAAGCTGGACTGGGGTGGTCCTGGGGCAGAAGCCAGGTGGTTCCAGTGAGGACACTGCCCTGGGGTGATGTGTGTGCACACCCTCAAAATGTTTTGTGAGAGACAGGACACTGGATCCACCTTTGGGCAGAGGCTGGGCTGCCTCAGGGATGTGGGGACCCCCATGGCATCAGAGGCCGTCGCTGTTTTGCTGGCGACTGGATTTTATAGTGGCCAGGGGGGACCTTGAGGTTGGGCCAAGCCTCCAGATGGGGCCAGGCAGGGCAGGAGCCCCTGCCCAGGGCACCACTGCAGGCAGAGGCTCCTGCCTTGTATATATTTCTCTTGCTGAGATTTGTATTAATTTATTATGGAGTGAGCCAGGACTTCCCCATAGCCAGGCAAGCAGAATGGCAGCAAAACTGGACTGGGGTGACCCCCTGCTTTGGGAGTGCCCCCCCCCAGCCCAGCCCAGCCAGCCCCACCGTCCTGGGAACTGCATGTTTCTGCCAGGCAACCCCATCTCCCCACAGTGCCGCGCCGCCGTCCCACTTTTCAGTCTCTTTTGTAAATGTGCCAAATGCTGCTGAGGCCACGGCCACACAGTAAAGAGCCTTTCTGAGCCTGGCGTGCGGGGCCGGGGGGCAGGGGTGGGGGGTTGCTCCTTCTCCTGACAGGACTCTGGCTTGCTGGGGTGGAAGAAGCCATGTCAGAAAAAAAAAAAAAAGAATGGTTTTTA